TTAATTTCGAAAACCAATCGAACAACATCCAGGAACAATATTATTTGTGTTTTCAAAATAATAATTTTAAAAAAGACAAATTTTTTAGTAATTTTGATTTACAAATCTAATTATTCGGCGGAAAATTACTCACAAATCATTTTTGTTAAAAAAGCTTGTTTAGTGAAAAAGTGCTAACAATATTCAAACATACAGGTAATTAATTCAACTTTGTCATTAACCTTTTCTTAAAAAATTTCCATAACTTTCAAAAAAAATTTCTATTATGTTTAATATCCTGTTCTGATAATCCACTCATTTATTTTTTATCATTTTTATTTTGAACATATTATCATATTTCTGTACATTATTATATTTTTTACAATTTAATTCATTATTTAAGAAAAATCTATTTTCTTTTCCTAAACATATTGTTGCTAAAATCTCATCAAGATCATGTTTCTTGACAGATGTCCTGAAGATGGAACGTACCTAGTTCCGAAACGTCGACAATAAACAATAAATTAAATAAAGAAATTGTTTTTTTTAAAACTTTCTTGTTTTTTATTTTGTATTATTTTTGGATTCTTGTTCGAACCTCTACAAAAATATACACAAATCCAAGACTCTATACCATTCAATATATATATATATATATATATATATTGTTTTTTGTCGCATTTTCGTTCACTGTACTAAATTATTTAACAATACAAAAATATTTCTACTTATTAAAAATGATTTAGAATTTTGTTTCATCATGTATCTAAAATTCATTTGTTTGGCATTGGACATGGAATATTTAGCAAGTTGGTCTTAGATTGAAGAGTGTTCATATGAACTAGATTTTGAAAATTAATTCACCTGAGATTTTAACATAAACAATAATGTTTATTAAATTATTAGTAAAAAATGTACTTTAGAAATTATAATTGCCAAAAAGCAACTAATATAGCGTACAAAACTATAAAAATTATAGACTAAATTATTGAAGCAATTATGTTGTATGGTAAAATCAAGTGTGATATTGTTGTTTTACCGCAGATACTATATTATTTTTTTCTGAATTTCTTATACTGCTTATGCTAAGACCATAAATGAATCATAAAGGCAGGACATCAAATAGGATATTAAAAAGTATAGGATAGCAAATTAAAAAAATTAAAACTTTTAAATTGTAGACGTGGGTACAAGACAACGCCTGCCGGGCCATCTGCTATATATATATAATATTCTAATAATATCACTTGCCTCTATATGTCCCAGTAGGATTCTAGTTGGACTTTGCGATTCTTTGTCGACGAAGTTCATAAGTGTTGTAAATCCGAGCATTTCTGCCACATTTATCCAATTTTCCGATTTGTCCAAAATTTTTGACAATTGAATCACAGTGTCCTCGTCGAAGGAGCACACGTCGTTGTGTTCGATTTTTATTTGGGCAAACTCTTGGTCCAAGGCGTCGTGGAAGATCTCGGCATTTGCGGAAACCCTTGCAGACTCGGAACTTTGTTCTCGGTTCTTGGTATATTTTTTTAATAACTCTAGAATCTGAAACCAAATAATATTGATATTAAGACATGAAGCATTAATAATACTAGTTGGTATTAGTATTTTTCCTTGAGGCAAGTTACATGAACTTCCCGATATATGTAAATAATCGACTTAATCAATGAAAAATAAATTAATTTATGAGTGATTAAAAATATTCAGAGTGGATTTATCACACATCATTGAAAACGAACGAACACTCTATCGTTATTCCAAGTAAATTGTCTAATTCTATTTTAACAAACGTCAAAAAAACTACTCATTTTCTCAAACTTTGATGAATTTTTAAAATTAAACTATTTGTCGTAAGGCCGCAATATTTCAGTAAGTTCTACAAGACCATGATAGGTATATATCGCCAAAAAAAGTTCCATAAAAATCGGCTTATATTGTTTTCAACAGTTAATTACAAGAAAACGGCTTGGTAGATTTTTACCTAAAACTAATCAGTATCATTCCCAACTAATATCTTTCGAACAGTTTCTGATTTTTTAAAATCGATTCGGTAGTATGAGCTTAAATGTGGACGGAAAGTTTAACACTTATTTCTAAATTACAAAGAAACGGCTCAGCTGATCGCCGCACAAAATTGAGAAACGCTAATCCTCATCAAGATACATAAAATTTCTGAAATATCTAATTAATAACAAATGCCAAAAAAACGGTAATAATTTTTGCAAACTTCGACGAGTTTTTAAAGTTAAACGAGCTGTCGTACGGCCATAATATTTTAGTATGATCTATAAGACTACGGTATCTACCGTCAAAAAAAAATCATAAAAATCGTCGGAAAAAATTTAACACTTCATTACAAGAAAACGGCCCGGCCGATCTTTACCAAGAATTAATCAGCACGATTCCCAACCAATGTCTTTCGAACAGTTTTTGAATTTTCAAAATCGATTCCGAATTGCGGGCTAAAACGTGGACGAAAAATTTTTCACTTTTCTGCCATTTATAAAAAAACGGCTTGACCGATCGTTGCACAAAACTGATAAATGCTAGTCCTCATCGAGACACATCGAATGGCTTTTAAATTTTTGAAATCGGTTAAGCCGTTTTTGAGAAAACGTCAATTTACAGCAAAAAATCTGTTCACATCCACAAATACTTTTTCCAAATTTGGTCTCATTCGATTTAGAATGGCTTGAAACGTCGAGAAAACATAAAATTAGCGAATCGAATTTTTTTATGAAAACAAACTTCTCCTTCGGGAAGTTAAGAGAGATATCACTGATTTGAGATCAATGTACAATTAGTTAAATACTGAAACTTCAGTAAATAAGCTTCCTCTGCATGATGATAAATTAGAAGTGCAACCACCAATTGTATTTGCTAAACATTGAAGAAACAATTAATTATACTAAAACTAGACAATACGCAAAATGTGACATCTTAAGACGAGATAATTTATGAACATTTGCTCGTGAATTGAAAAGGCCGGTTTATGCTGTGAATATTAAGTGAAAACGCTTACCAAATGAAAATTCTCAAAGAAAATTAAGTCTGTTTATTCTTTTTTATAATGTTTAAACAATTATGTCCTGTAAAATCAGATGATACAATCTTGAGCCAATGATTTGTTATAATAAATTGCTAAGATATAATTTTATGTCCAGTCATAATTAACTTCCCGTAGGATTTATTTTTAATTTCCCGTAGGGTAAGTTATAGTAATCGCAAAAAAATCGAAAATGAAATTGTTTGCATATCTTTACTTCAGAAAACTTTTCAAATGTTTCTGAATATTGTGTGTTTCTAAATATAGTGTGGATACAAATTTACGTCTTCGATTTCGGGAACACCGATCAACCGATTTGAAAAATTAAAGAAAACATTCGATTCATATTGATAAGGAGACGTGCTGATTAGTTTTTGGCAAAGGCAGGTTTAGCCGTTCCCAAGATACGGGGCAAAAAGTGCTAAAAACGGTTACTCAGTTTTTGAGAGAACGGAGCGTCCGATTTGAATGATTCAAAAAAAAAAATTGTTAGCAAAATATATATGATAGGGCGTATATTATTATTATTATATTTTATTGTATTATAATATTAGTTAATATTATAATAGTGTGTCATGCGTTCGGTTTAATCAGTATGGCATTTTATATAAAACATGGAAATGTGACATATTTGTTTGTATAAATTGTAGAATGGTTCGGTGATTAAAAGTATATTATGTTGAGTTATATTGTGCTTTATAATTAGCTAATGGTCAGCTAACACATTTTACCTTGACAGAATGAACGATTTTAGGGAAGGTCCAGCGGTTTCGGAGATTCGATAAAAAAAAAAGTTTAAAGAAATGGCATTTAACGGTCAAAGATGATTATATGTACATTAAATTATCAGATATAAAGATTTTAATAATAAGTACAAATTTTGTTTACAATTCTATGGGTTCTATATCAAGACTTATAGTGCCTAAAAGTTAGACTGCAACACGGCGCTTACGCGCTTCTATATTTCGTCTCTAAAACAGATAGTTTTTTTTTAATTCAAGATTTTCAAAAAAAAAATCAAATTTTACGATATGGAGACTCTATTAATCACGTCATCGATTTTTCAGGGATTTTTGGACCCTCTCGCCCTCCTGATACGACGTGATATTTCGAATTAACCCCCCACCCCTTCCCCACCAAACATGACGTTTATTTTTATTTACGTAAAATTTTTCGAATTTACGAAAAAAAAAGTAAAATTGTTGCTTTTTTAAAATTTTGGTAGAAAATAAATACACGTGATATCTTACTAGATCCCTCCCTTCCTCACGTGATTTTTTGTAAAAAAAACCCCTGCTCCTAAAAGCCACACGTTAAAAACGAAAGTAACAGCAATTACCTTAGGCGCAATGCCATGCATCCCTAGTTTTGAAATAACTTTTGAATAACAATAAGGTTAATACTGATTACTAAGAGTAAACTAACAATGAGAGAAAAGATATCACAAATACACTTCAAATTCAAATTTTAATTGCAATTTTCATTTCTGAAAATTTTAATATGTACAAGTAAATTATGTCATATTTACTTGAGAATTTAATTCATACACATCACATTAAATAAACCCAAAATTACATAGTTTTTAAATCACTACATAAAAGATATTGCATAGCAAAGTAGTAGAAATATATATCAGAAGACCAGGAAACTAGAGGTATATATAGGAAAACTAGGAATATTAATCATAAATAAGCGTTTCTACAAAATATATTCGTATATTGATAATACATATTTATTTAAGTATGTAAGTTTCTGTTCAACAGAAAATAAAGATATATATTCTAATTTTATAAAACCAAAACATCAATTGCAAATAAATAATGTAATCTACTTGTAGATTGCAATAATAAAAAATCCAAATAAAACTCATCGTTCAAGATATAAGAGGTAAACGTACCATATTACGGGACGAGGAACGTAATCTCTTACCATAAAAAACACAAAAAAAAAAGAAAATAATGTCATGATCCATGCAAATATTTAAAAATCTATGTATTAGGTTTGAAAAAATATCGTTTTATCAATTTCTTTGTTAATTTAATAAATATCTACAAAGATAATTTAACACTTTAATGATGACTGAAAGCTCAAAGCTTCAAAAATACAATATTAGTTATTTATATTTATGCATAAGTAACTGATATTCATGAAAAGCTATCATCTGCCCAGTATTCTGATTACCAAAGATGATGAATAATATTGCACAAAACAATTATACAAAGTGTATAAACATTTTAATTTTAATTTATTTGAATGGTTTGTCATTTCTGCGGTATAGTAAAATTAAACAAACGATCTGGATTTATCTGAATTGAAAAGTGTCTATTAAATTGTAAAACAAACTGAAAGGGTTTTAAGTTGTTTTAAACTTCCATTATATATTTGATCAACAGAATAGGTGCAACGATCATAATAGAACAAGATCATCATGAACAAAATTGAGATATCTTTAAAATTATTTTAAATGTCATTGATTGTATCGAAAGAGTTGTAAAATCTTTTGCACTTCATATCATATACTAGACTACCTTTTAATATCAAATTTCAATCACTATTAACTTATAGTTTTCAACATTACAAACTTATTTTATTGTTAGGGGGCGTCCATTAATCACGTGAGCAAGTTTTTAAGGTTTTTTGGACCCCCCTCCCCTTGGTGATACATGGTGATATTCAAAATTAACCACCCTCCCCCCTTGAAAAAAGTGTCATTTTTGATTTTTTTTTGTTTGAAGTTTTTTTTAAAAATAATTAAAAAACAAATATACATGATATCTTACTATACCCCTCCCTACCCTACAAGATACTTCGTGTTTTTTTGTCAAACCCCTCCTCCTCATAAAAATCTCACGTGATTAATGGACGCCACCTCATAAAATGTAGCTGTTCAATTAATTTATAATTCTTTATTACAATCTTACCTAGGAATTATTAAAATGATTTGAAATATTAATTGTACTACAATAGTAAGGTACTACAATATTAAATTATTTAAACATAGAGCACACTTACGATTTCTTACAAATCTCAATCCCAAAGAAATAAATACAAGAAGCAATAAAAAAAGATGCTAGTGCCCATGCAAATGAAATGATATAAAATATACATACTCACTTGAGGATTTGATGTAGCTAGTTCAAAAGCATTGCCAATCTCCAATCGATCTTCCTGATCAGAATCTTCGTCATCACTTTTTGGTTCGTGTTTCACCGAATCCATCGGCATTAAAGGATCAGCCTATAAGAATAAGATCAAGTCCGATTTGATCATTAATTGTTAAATTAAAATACATTTCTATGAAAGATTATAAACAAAAACTTCTAGCAACTCCTATTTGAAATAGATTTTAATACTTTTAGCTTTGAAATTAATTTTTATCACTGAATAAATTATTTACATATTATAAAGATACAATTTTCTTGAATATTGTGAAAATTTTACTAGTATAATGTTTTCAAGCAAAAATAAATTAACATGATGATCAATAAAGACCCAAGGCAGTAATAATGTTACATCATGATTACAACTATAAAATTTGAACATGTTCTATCTATAGTAGGGAAGATAGGGGCAAGTTGAGCAATCGAAATATCTCAGAAACTATTCACCTTCCGTTTAGGCATTATATGGCGGAAAGATAGAGGTTTGGGAGAAATAAACATCCCGCGATCGCTAGTGGCCGCTGGACAAATGAGTGAGGCTCACGGGCGTTTTGTTTATTTTGAGAACAAAAAGTAAAAAAGTAATTCGTCACGAGTTTTCGTCTGGTTCAGTCAAATGTTATTTATTTTTAATCAGGTAAATGTTATTCTTCCATATAATTATAGTACTTTTAATATGCACAGACATTCTGGGTATAATTCTCACGGTTTTTTTATAAACTCACTTTTATTCTAAAATTCGGATTTGGGGTTAGTTGAGCATAGTTGCTAAACTTGTTCTGTCCCTAAGACAATTACCATTAACTTCCAGAAATTAATTATTATTTTTAAGATTTAAGCTATCTATGAGTAATAATATAAAGAAATAATGATTTTAAACAAAAATATTGAATATAATGGTAAAATAATTCCTAAGATACGATATTGTTTCGTTGATTCTACTTTTCACTAATTATTCAAAGCAAATTACTATAAGTTTTGTTTTCTCTATCAATAAAGACTATAAATATAGAACTGGTTATTAAAAACTTATTTTATTTCATCACTAATCGACATTGAACCTATGATTTCATTATACTTTCTTAGTGCTCAACTTGCCTCACCTATGGGGTACATTGAGCATACTTGACTTTTTGCATTTAAACAGCTGTAGCTTTTAAATTTTACTTATTGCCAAAAAATAGTATTGACACTTTTATTAAGCGGTAAACAACAAATCCATTAAGCCGTATGGCAATTTATTGAGACTTTTCATTGAGGAGCTACATCCGTTTAAGTTAAAATTTGCTCAACTAGCCCCGCCCTACCCTAATATATCTATAATAAATGTGATAAAAATATACATTCATCGCCATTGTACTAGTCTACTATACATTGTTTTTCTTATATTTACCTGAGCCTCAAGAAGCTTGTGAACAATGATTTCAGATCCTTTTCCACTATTTATAACACAAGCTAAATGCAGGGGCGTATGTCCTTGCCGATTGTATTCATCAACTGAAATCTGGGAAAAAAAGAAAATAATGTATATATTAGAGATCCATCTTAAAGTAAAAATAGTTATTAAAATATAAAGCATAAATAAATAGATTTAATTTTATTCTACAACAAATAAAAAAGACACATCTCTTGAATTGAATTAAAGCATTAAATCATTGAAAAATATGACCAAAATGTGCGAGTAGTGAATTTGACGAAGATGTTTTTCAAAGGACTAATATAGTAATGATTTTGTTATTTTTTATTTAGTAAATCGCTATATTTTTGGAGAATATATATTTGATCTTAGCAATAAACGTTTCATTTATTTTTATAATTTAAAAAAACATTGTTCTGGCATGAATTAATGGAATTTCAATGTATTTATATGGAAAAAATCGATTCGACATTCGACGTGCGAGCGTGATTATGGAACGAATTAAGCTCGTAAGGCGAGGTATCACTGTTAGACAATTTGTAAATATTTGATGCAAATATATTGATTATTAAAAAGAATTTGCAATATTTACGTCAAGTAAGTGCTTTTAATTAAAGATAATGATTTATTTAAAAAACAATAGCAAAATGATCATTTGTGAAATGATATTCATAACAAAACAATTAATATATTTATTCTTAATTGTATATATTATTCATAAAATAATAAGCAATTAACTTTTTATTTTTCAAATGTTTCTTAGATACTACTGATTAAGATCAAATATCTGAAATACTTACAGGAGATAAAATATCTATAATCCTAAATATGTTATAAGAATTATTTTAAACAAACTTTTTATTTTTGTTTTATTTAAACAAACAAAATTTGTTCAAATTACTCGATTTATTATCAATGGAATCCTTGCAAATAATTTAGGAAAGTTGCAGATTGTAACTACAAAAGAGGCGTCCATTGCTTTTTTAAGGATTTTTGGACCCCCCCCCTCCTTTGGACCTGGTGTTATTCAAAATCACCCCCCTCCCCCAGCAAACATCACGTGTATTTTTAGTCACGAGAAAAAATTGTAAAATTTTTCAATTATTTTTTGAAAATGTTTGGATTTGTTTAAAAAAATCAGGTAAAAAATAAATACACATGATATCTTACTACAATATGTACGTAATACCAATCTTAACCCTTTCCACTCGGATGCCGCCGCTCCGGCGTCAAAATTCATGTAAATCTCGGAATTCGCGAGTGGAAATGGTTAATTGCTATTGCGTGGGTGGAGTGACTAAGGCGGACGCTGAGCACGCCATTATGGAGTGCAAAAAATTGCAAAATGGTAGGCAAGAACTATGGAAGAAGATAGTAAGGCAAAAAATCTCCCTGCCAACCAATTTTATAACATTATAGACAAAGAAAAAGATATATGGTGCGCTAAATAATTATATACAATCAAATAAAATAAATGTGTAAAGATAACTTATAAGATGTATATGACTAATGTATGTGTATACAAAGTCAACAAATAAACAAAAAAAAATCTTACTATTCCCCTCCCTCCACAACGTGATAATTCGTAATTTCTTGTCATTTTCCCCCACCCCCTAAAAACCTCACGTAATTAATGGACGCCCTCAAAATTTTTAATAAAATGTAATCAAATATACATACATTTGGAACATCCAATAAAATTTTCACAACATCAGGATGATTATTTTCGACTGCAATGTGTAATGCAGTATTGTCATTGAGCGCATCGCCATGGTTTACATCTGCATTTTTGGCCAACAGCTTTGCAACAATCTGGCAGTTTCCTCCAGCCACAGCTAGATGAAGAGCTGTTTTACCATCTGAAAAAAAAACAAATAACTAGAGGCATCGCGACTAGTTAAATTTAAAAAAAAAAAACATTGAAGTTTTTTGAAAACTTCGAAAAACTAGTGGTGGATAGCATAGTGCTTGGGCAAATTGCTGGAACTTTTCATACCAAATATTTAAAATATATGAATTTTTAAAAAAATATTCAATTTTTTTAGAACTTCGAAAAAAAGCAATTTTGGATATTTTTGAAAAATTGATTCAAAGATCGTGAGTGCCGCGCCGCAGTATAACGACGGTATAAACATTGATACGGAACCCATAGATATGTAAACAAAATTTGTTCTTATTATTAAAATATCTATAAAATATGTGATAATCTGATATGCATATGTCTGATGATAATTTTTGTCCACCAAATGACATTTTTTCACTTTTTTCATTGGATCTCCAAAACCGTTAGACGTGCCTTCAAATTTCATCAGTTCTTCATTTCGTCAATACAATGTAACATAAAGATATACATTCTTCATTCATTATTATAACCAAATAATAAATTTGTTTATTATACATACCATTATTTTCAACATCAATTTCAACTTTATGTTTGGACTTTGAATTTAACAAATGAGTTACTGCATTCAAACACTTTTCTCGCACTGCTGTATGTAATGGAGTGTTCCCATCATCATCAGTAATATTAGGATTTATTCCTGCAAAATTAAATAAAACCAGTTGGTATTGGTATTTTGCCTTGAGGCAAGTTACATGCACTTCCCGATATGTGTAAATAATCGACTTAATCAATAAAAAATAAACTAATTTATGAGTGATTGTAAGTATTCCGAGTGAATTTATTACACATCATTGAAAGCGAGCGAACGAACACGTTAACCCTCGGAGTATTTTCTAAAAGCAAATTTTCAAAAATCAATAATTTTTTTAATTAATCCAGTTTCCGTAAGACTTTAATGGTTTAATATGTTTATTAACACCAAGTACTGTATCGTTATACCAAGTCAAAAAAACTACTCATTTGCTCAAATTTTTATGAATTTTTAAAATTAAACTACTTGCCGTAAGGCCGTAATATTTCAGTAAGTTCTATAAAACTATGATATAAATCGCCAAAAAAAGATAAATCGAAATCATAAAAATCAACTCAATTTTTTTTTTCACCTAAAACTAATTAAGTCGTTTCCCAAATAATATCTTTCAAACAGTTTTTAATTTTTTAAAATGTTTGTATGATCTTGAATGTGAACGAAAATTTTTACACTTTTTTCCAAATTACTCGGCAAATCGTCGCTCAAAACTGGCGAACGATAGTCCTCACTGAGATACATAAATGGCTTTTAAATTTCTGAAATCGGTTCAGGCGTTTTTGAGCAAATGTCGAAGAAAGGTCTAATTTTGACAAATGCCAAACAAACGATACTAATTTTTACAGACTTTGAAGAATTTTTAAAATTAAACGACTTGCGGGCCGCAATATTTCAATATGATCTATAAGACTATGGTAATTACCGTCAAAACAAATCATAAGAATCGTCGAAAAAAATATTTTTAACAATTCATTACAAGAAAACGGCCCGGCCGATCTTTACCAAAAACTAATCAGGTCGATTCCCAACCAATATCCTTCGAACGATTTTTGAATTTTCAAAATCTTTTCAGAATTACGGGCTAAAACGTGGACAAAAATTTTTTCACTTTTCTGCTATTTGCCAAGAAATGGTTAAGCCGAATAATAAAAAATAAAAAATTCTCATTATTATCAAATTACGACTATTTTTAACAAGGTTTTTTTTCTCAATTTGGTATTTAAAATATTATTGGCTAATCCTCTTTGTGTTAAAGTTTTAAAGGCCTATTATTTTAGTAGATCCGTGAATACAATAATTATTTTCAATTATATATAGTAAAAATATTTTTTAATAACCTGCTGCAAGAAGAGGTTTGATGTATGTATAATGTTTTTTCTCGATGGCCGCATGAAGTATAGATTTTCCAAAATGATTCTTAACATTAAGCAATTCACTTAAATTACAGTGAACAAGCAAATCTAACATATCTCGTGCTATGCTCATCTCATCCAGGTCCACAGCTCCATGCAAAACCCTGAAAAAAATGTTTTTATTAAATCATATTTCCAACAAAAAAAAATTACATAATCTAAGGTAATGATATTAAATAAAAGAGTATCACTTACGTATTCCCATTTTCTCCGGTCATGAATAATTTTGTAACAGCAGATTCATTATCTCTCTTAGTTTTTGAGTCATTGGCAGCTGTAGGATCCTTTACATTCTTCAAAAGCATTATTAGCTGATGTTTAATTTCAAAATCAATGAATGTTTGCAATTTAGTAGATCTGGAAATATGAAAAATAAACTATTAAGTACATAGATCGAGGGAAGTAGAAATTTACATCATAAAATTCGAGAAATGCAACAGAATATCAGAATTAATAACATTAGGTTATTTGATGTCATATTTAAGAAAAATTCAGCAAGCGGCAATCTAAACTTTCACTGGAGGCTTATCACAAATGACTCACAATTATTAGAAAAAGGTTTTATCATATAATGTGAAGTAATTTAAAAAATAGTTCAGTGGTTGTGCATAGGCTTTGCAAGTATTTTGTATCAAAAGTTGTTTGTGAAAGTTTTCTTAATTATTATTGTTAAAATATTCCAAAAATTAAAAAATGATGATATGTATACAGACTAGTGGTGCATGGCATCTTGCCTTAAGCCAAATTGCTGGAACTTCCCGTACCAAAAATTAATTTAAAAAAAAATTAAATTAATTAAATTTTTTTTATAAACTTTGAAAAAAATTAGATTTTTGAGAAATTTTAAATTAAAAAAAAAATGACTTGAACAAAATGTTTTTTATTTTGTAATATTTTGGAAGTTTTTAACTTTTTTTAAAAGAAATATGTTTTATCTGCATAGAGATAAAATATCGAAGCACGTAAGCGCCGCGTCGCCGTCTAACTCTATATAAAAATTTTCATTTTAGATTTTTTGCGGACACGATCTTGTGAATAAACATTCAAACAACCAAATAACAACAATTAAGTTTTGTAAAATCATTTAAAAACCAAAAAAATCGTTGTAAAAGTAAAATATATGAAAAACACAAATCGCTGGTCTGGCATTGAAAAATTTCATTAAATCATGCCTCTATGTGTTTTATAAAATTACCTTTCCTTTGCTATATTTATAGAACGTTCAATATCTGCATTATCATTATCATTGACTTTCTTTAATTTGAGATAATCCAAGAATTTCCCTTCCTTGCCTGTTTTAGATCCAGAATCATCATCATTTGGTGGCAACCAGCCTCCACGTAAATTATTAAGACTTCTGAAAAATTCTCTTTGAGATTCTACTGACTTGTCCTTCCTATTTAGTACTGGTTTTTCATTACCAGATTTCTTTGAAGTGTCTTCAAACTTCTTTGATTCAATATCAGCATTTGATGGTGAAGGGCGTCCACCTCGCAATTTCACAATTTTTTTTCCCTTTTGTGTATTTGGTTCAAGAATTTCAACCTTATCAGAACTTTGTTGTTCAATATAAACGTTTTGATTGGATAATTGTACCATATCAGCCATCTGAGCATGTACTGTAAAAACAATAAATTGAATTAAAATATAATATGTTATTGTTTATTAGCTCATTAACTAAGTCACGAGAAATATTACTAGACATTAAACAATTTTTATTTCCTTATGTATAACTTCTTAAAGTATTAACTCATTATTCAAAAAATGCAAGAACTATTCCCCGGGACTCAATTTTTATTGTTGTTGACTAGTGACTAGATAATTATAGATTGAGATTAGATTTCTGGCAAAATTCTGAACTTTGACGAATTTTATAACTGAACCGCTTATTTTAGTAAGCTTTATCAGACTACAAAATCTATTTGAACATTTGATTACTTCATCAAAACCTAATCAACGCGACTTCCCACCCAAATCTTTCAAACAATTTTTGAATTTTTAAAATTGATTCAAGATTGGTGGTTAAAACGTGGATAATTTTTTTTAGGTTTTTGAAACAGGTCCAGATAAAATGTAGATGAAAGATCAAAATCGACTCACATACAAAATTATTACTAAACATCAAACAATTTTTAATTTTCTTATCCAATAATGTAAAGTATTAACTCATTATTCTAAAAATTCGCTGAACTATTCGCTAGACCTCAATTACACATATACTTTTTATTACAAAGTAGCCTCACTCGATTCAGAATAACTTGAAATTTCAATAAAACATATAATTAGCAAACAAACGCAAAATCAAACAAACTTCTCCGTCGTTAAAAATGTTGGAATCGTACTTACCAGTAGTTTTTCGTAAAAATCGGTCGAGTCGTTTCTTCGTAATTAGATGTTAAACTAGTTATTCACATTTCCATCAAATGGATTTTGAATTATTGAAATCAGTTCAGCCGTTTTTGAGAAATATATATATATATATATATATATATATTTAATTTCAATAAGTATTACAACTGTTAAATTAACATCAAGTAATATTGATACATAATAACATAAATTTAAGTAAATAAAAGTGCAAAGGATAAAATTTTACATGAAAATAATATCCTTAATATGATTTGATATAAAATAATTGGTCTCCTTATTGATAGATATCGAACATTTTTTGAATCATTCAAATCGGTTAAAGCGTGTTTCCAAAATCGTCGACGAAAATTTGTATCCGAACACACACACACACACCATACATCCACTTTTTCTAAAGTATGCCAAAATGTTCAGGAGCTTCTGAAACGTAAAGATATATATTCGATTTTTTGCGATTACTATAACTCACCCTATGAAAAATTATTTATTTAGCACTATCAAACATATATTGTAATAAAAACAAATAAAAAATATAATCAAACCTATTCTAACTTCAGAGGTAGAAACAGTTGGTTTGCTGCGCCCCATACAATCTGTGGTCAACGAACTTTCTGATTCGGATTCCCCTAAAAATAAAATAAATAATTATATTTTTTATTATTATTGAAATACAATTACTAAATTGTTTATAAGCAATTAGAAAAAAATAAATTATAATAATAAAGACAATCATAGATATTCTGTCATTGTAATCATAATCAGTCAATAAATAGTAGTTCTTTCAACATTTTATACAAAAAAAAAATCTTTGCTATCAAAATTAGGTATAAATTTATTATTAAAACTAATTGTAAGTAATAATTGCGTCCTCATCATATATAAAAAATTATTATCAAAATGAAGTAATAATTGCGTCCTAAAACCAATCGCCTTTCGGTAAATTAGCTTTTGATTTGATTTAAAAATATAATTACATGTATTAACTGATAAACTAAACAAAAACTTCAATTAACTGATTCAGTTAATTTTGATTCAATTCAGAAATCTAATCTGATTGGTTTAATGTCAATCAAGTAAAATATGATAAGAATTAGGTTAATGTGATTTTGATTCAAATTATTCCAATCATTTAATTCTGTAAATGAAATTAAAGTTTATTAAGTACAAAATGAAATAAAAATGTACAAATAGACATAATACAAATAATAAAACTTACCCTGGGAGTCCAAACTTCTTGTGTTGCTTATATCTGGAAATAAAAAAAAAAGTTTCTGTAAAATTTTGCATAAAATATCTATAAACAGAAAAATATAATAATATAAAATTTTTATTCCACCTCTGTTAATATTTTAAATTTTTTAATGCGTTCGAGGCACTAAGATCCGCATTTCAACTACGAATTATTGAAAATTTCAATATCCACGTGCATAAAACATTTTTGACTAAATTTTAGTAAATTTTATCTAGTTTTTACTAATGTCAACATATTATAATGTCCGGAATAAAAATTAAAAGTTATTTAAAAAAATAAAAAAATGTAGCAAATCCATATATTGCAAACTTAAAAATAATAAAGTCCGCATTTCAACTACAAATTATTGAAAAGTTCAATATCAAAGTGTATAAAACAGTTTTTACTAGAATTTAGTAAATTTCATTTAGTTTTTGCTAATGTAAATAAACTATAATGACCGAAATAAAAATTAAAAGTTATTTGAAAAACGTAAAAACTGTTCTACGACGATTTGCAAGTGTTCAAAGCTCTAAAGTCCAAATTTCAACTACAAATTATTCAGAATTTCAATACCCAAGTGTAAATAACAATTTCAACTGAATTTTATCTAGTTTTTGCTAATGTCATTAAATTATAATGACCGACATAAAAAATAAAAGTTATTTGAAAAAAAAAAGTAAAAAATGTTCTACGACTATTTGCAAGTGTTCAAAGGCACTAAAATTCGCATTTCAACTACGAATTATTGAAATCAATATCCAAGTGTAAATAACAGTTTTAACTGAATTTAGTAAATTTCATCTAGTTTATACTAATGTAAGCAAATTATAACGTCCAAATAAAATTAAAAAGTTATTAAAAGATACGTACAAAAAATGTGCCAAATCCATGTATTGCAAATTATAAAAATATTAAAGTCCGCATTTCAACTGTGAATTATTGAAAATGTCAATATCCAAATGTAAATAACAGTTTTAAGTGAATTTAGTAAATTTCATCTAGTTTATACTAATTTAAGCAAATTATAACGTCCGGAATAAAAATTAAAAGTTATTAAAAGAGACGCACAAAAAATGTGCTAAATCCATGTATTGCAAACTATAAATGCGGACTAAAGTCCGCATTTCAACTGTGAATTCCAATATCTAAGTGTAAATAACAATTTCAATTGAATTTTAGTGAATTTTATCTAGTTATTGCTATTAGCTATTAAATTAGCTATTGCTATTAAATGTAAATAAACTATAATGTCCAAAATAAAAATTAAAAGTTATTTGAAGAAAAGTAAAAAATGTTCTAAGACCATTCATTGGAAGTGTTCAAAGCCCTAAAATCCACATTTCAACTACAAATTATTCAAAATTTCAATATCCAAGTGTAAATAACAATTTCAACTGGATTTTAGTTATTTTAAAAAACGAAAAAAATATTCTACGACAATTTGCAAGTGTTCAAGGCATTAAATTCGCATTTCAACTATGGATTATTCAAAATTTCAATATGCAGGTATAAACAACATGTTATACCAGGTATTAGTCAAATTTATCTAGTTTTTACTGAAGTATATAAAACATAGCGGCCGAACAAAAATTTGCAAGATATCCAAAGAAATGTAAGAAAATGTCCAGAATTCACATGTTGCTCAATACTTGTCTGAAATGTTCCAACAAGTTTTATTCAAAATAAACTATATCTGTGTAAACAACAGTTTTCCCTAAATTTTATTAAATTTGAAATAACTAGTTTGAAAAACTTACCATTATGAACCATCTCAAGAAAGTTTTTAAATTCATCAGAGTTCATAGCATCTTTCATATCACTCTCGCAAAGTGTCAATGAGCTGTATTCATTACTGATGAATTCTGGTGTCGATAAATTCATACTGGTTAACACTGTTGGCAAAGTACTCAAAAATTCATCGCTATTGAAGTTTGAATCCATGCGTACTCTTTTGCGATCAGAACCCAATATACGAGCTGATGGTTTATACAAAAAATCTAGTGGTTCACTAACACTATTATCAGTAGGTCTCAGTAACTGAATATAACATTTTCTGTCTTCTTGAATGTTCTGATCTTTATATGGTGGCGTTCTAAAATAAAATAATATTAGTTTAATTACATTATTAATTGTTATTAATAAAATAAATTAATATGTATTTTTTACTTACTTAAGTGCAATTGCATACTGGTGATGAACATCAAATTCACTGAACGATCCAAAAGCATTCCATACTTCACAATCATCCTCATCCAACTCATAGAATTTTACTTTAATATTTTCTAATAAGAAACAAACTCTGTTTTACTGGCATATGTACATAACATCATTCATTATAAAAAGATTAAGTGATGTACCAAGTCGAATCAAGTGATTCAAACCATTCGATGTATCTTGATGTGGAATATCGTTTGGCAGTTTTGTGCGACGATCGGCCGAGCCGTTTCTTCGTAAATAGCACAAAAGTGAAAAAAAAATTCGTCCATATTTTATTCCGCAATTCTAAATCGATTTTGATAATTCAAAAACCATTCGAAAGATATTGGTTGGGAATCGACCTGATTAGTTTTTGGTAAAGATTCGCTGGCACAATTTCTTGTAATTAACTGCTGAAAAAAAATCGACGATTTTCATGTTTTTTTTAATGATAGATTCATGGCCTTCTAGATCATACTAAAATATTATGACCTACAAGTCGTTTATTTTAAAAATTCGTCATAGTTTGCAAAAATTAGTGACTACTCATTTTCTCAAACTTTGATGAATTTTTAAAATTAAACTACTTGTCGTAAGGCCGTAATATTTCAGTAAGTTCTATAAGACCATGATATATCGCCAAAAAAAGTTTCATGAAAATCGGCTTAATTTTTTTTTAAACAGTTAATTACAAGAAAGCGGCTCGGTATATTTTCACCTAAAACTAATCAGTATCATCCCCAACCAATATCTTTCGAACAGTTTTTGATTTTTCAAAATAGATTGGGTAGTATAAGCTTATATGTGGACGAGAAGTTTAACACTTTTTTTCAAATTACAAAGAAATGGCTTGGCAGATCATCTCATAAAACTGATAAACAAAAGTCCTCATTGAGATACATGAAATTAATTTAAATTTCTGAAATCGGTTCAGGCGTTTTTGAGCAAACGTCGATGAAAGATCTAGTTTTGACAAACGCCAAAGAAACGATACTAATTTTTGCAAACTTTCACAAATTTTTAAAATTAACGAATTGTCGTAGGGCCGTAATATTTTAGTATGATCTATAAGACTGTGGTATCTAACATAAAACAAATCATAAAAATCGTCAAACATTTTTTTAACACTTTATACAAAAAAACGGCCAGGCCGATCTTTACCAAAATATAATCAGCACGATTCCCAACCAATATCTATCGAACGGTTTTTGAATTTTCAAAATCGATTCAGAATTGCGGGCTAAAACGTGGACAAAAAATTTTTCACTTTCTGCGATTTACAAAAAAGCGGCTTGGCAGATCGTCGCACAAAACTGACAAACGATAGTCCTCATTGAGATATATCAAATGGCTTTTAAATTTTTAAAAACGGTCCAGCCGTTTTTGAGAAAACGTCGATTTGCGGCAAAAAATCTGTTCACATACACACACACACACACTTTTTCCAAATTTGGTCTCATTCGATTCAGAATGGCTTGAAATGTTGAGAAAACAAAATAGCGAATCGGATTTTTTGATAAAAACAAACTTCACCTTCGCGAAGTTAAAAATATATATTTCAATTGTCTCCAATATTGAATCTTTTTCTAATCATTTTTGTAATATATTAGAATTGATAGTAATTTGTGTTTATAATATTTTTTCTTTGTCAAGTCTATTGGTCAACATACATTTTTGTCACATTTACTAAATAAATACAGTGAAATGGCTTTTCCGTTTTAGGTTACAAGAATCACAATTCAAAAAATTATTGAGTTGGCACATCACTAACAAGAATAGTATATAAATCTTACTTTTTGATACTTTTTCAACGAATAAGAATATTTCTTCGCCTCCCATCGCAGAACTAAAACGACGACTGAGTCTGCATATGCGAAGATCTCCAGTCATAGCGCTTTCTGAAAAAAATGAAATTAAAGAAAATTGCAAAATAAAAACTAGTGGGGTGCCTTGAGGAAAATTTCTGGAACCTCCCGTACCGTAATTAAATATCTTGGTACGGAACCCAAAAAAAATTACACAAAATGTGTGCACATTATGAAAATCTCTATAAAATATCTGATAATTTGATGTGCATAAGTCCAATAAACATTTTTGACCACCAAATGACATTAAGGATAAGTTATTGTAATCGTCCAAAAATCGAAATTGAAAATTTTTACATTTTTTCACGTTTTGAAGGTTTCTGAACATTTTGGCATACCTCAGAAAAAAATGGATGAGTGGGTGCGTGTGTGTATGTATGTATGGATACAATTTTTCGTCCACGTTTTCGGGCGCACGGATCAACCGATTTGAATGGTTCAAAAAACATTCGATTACTATTGATAGGGAGATGTGCTGATTAGTTTTTGGCAAAGGCAGAACCAGCCGTTACGGAGATACGGAGCAAAGAGTGCAGAAAAGACAAATTGAGTTTTTGAGAGAACGAAGTATCGGATTTGAATGATCTGAAAAACATTCAATTTGTAATGATTGGGAGAAGGGGTGATTAGTTTTTGGCAAAGACAGGTCCCGCCATTTCAAATATGCAGAGCTAAATGTGCAATAAATGGCAGTTTTTGAGTGAACTAAGCGTCCGATTTGAATGATCTAAAAATCTTTTTGCTTGTATTGACAAAACAATTGCTTTTGAGGATAAAAAATTATTACATCTTTTTTTATTTTCCATAAAATATTTTTGTAATTTTGGATTAAAAATTCAAAAAATTACCCAGGCTAAGCACAGTCTAAGCGCCACTCTGGTACAAATGTTTACCCAAGTGCGTTTAGACTGTTTATGCACTGGAGCACTTTTTCAATTTTGTGAAAACTATTGAAAAATGTGAAAATGCCGCCAAGCTAAGCGCAGTATAAGTAAAAGTGTCGCACAGAATAATTAGTAAATGTTTAGACTGTGACTATACGGGAGCACTTTTTCAATTTTGTGTAAATTTATTAGGCAACTATTTTTTTAAATTGAAATTGAATTCGAAATGAAGTGACGATTGTTAATGTTCTGGGGATAAATTGATTTATGATTTACAATTGATTTGCTCAGATATAACAAGATAGCAAAAATAATGAAAGTTACAGTATTTGTAATAATATATTTGAAAACGTTTGAAATTTCTCGAATATTTCATTACGGTACGGGAAGTTCCAGCAATTTGCCTTAAGGCACGACGCCATACACCACTAGTTTTAAATCCGATTGATGAAGTTTTGTTTATTAACTTTTTATAAAATAAGAATAATGACGTTTAATAGTTATATTATTTATAATCTATTTGAAAATACTTAGCATTCCTCAAATATTTTGTTAAGGTACGGGAAGTTCCAGCAATTTGCTGTAGGGCACGATGCCACTCACACATAGTTTATTGAGTCTCTACCTATAAAGGGTCTCAGAGACTTCCAAAAAAAAAAAGCTTATAAAAGTTGTTTAACATATCATCTTTAAAGAAAAAGAAGTTTGTTTATATGAAAAGCGTGCAGTACTTCGCGGCGCGAGTTAACCGGGTATTTTACACTCGGAATGTAAGTTGTATGGACCAAATGAATAATTGACTGAATTTATAGGAAGGCAAGTCGCATTGTATATTTGGATAAAATTTTTTGTCTTGTTATTGACACAGAATTGTAGAGTAAGGGAAACACATTGCCATCTATATGTTCAAGTAAAAATTGATTTCACTCCAATCTGGAATGCTTGGAGCCTGATGACATTTATATATCAAAATAACTAAAGTGAAAGTTTAGAGACCAAACCAGCAAATTATGTATAGCAGACCAAATCATATGTCACCGATAATGAAATAAGTTTAAATTTGTTCAATAATTAATCAATTAATATAAAATCGTTGCACGAAAGAGTAATTTATTCGAAATTAATACATCCAGTCTTATTGTAAAAATTTTTAAGGGTTTTACACAAAAAGATCGTTACTGTATATTATATAAACGATAAAATTTATATTGGTTATAATTATCTATTTGAAAATGTGCAAAACAATCGTTAAATTATTGATCAATATTTATTGCATATTGATTTTTTTTTTGCTCGAATATTTAATTTTGGTACGAGAAGTTCCAGCAATTTTCTTTAAGCAATTTGCCTAAGGGCACGATGCCAAACACCACTAGTTGAATTATAAAAATCGGACGCTCCGTTCTCTTAAAAACTGAGTTACCGCTTTTGGCACTTTTTACCCCCGTATCTTCGGAACGGCTAGACCTGCCTTCGCCAAAAACTAATCAGCACGTCTCCTTATCAATATGAATAAATGTTTTTTGAATTATTCAAATCGGTTGATCGGTTTTACCGAAATCGTCGACGAAAATTTGTATCCGCACACACACACACACACACACACATATACATCCATTATTTACTAAGGTATGCGCAAATGTTCAGAAACCTTTGAAACGTAAAGATATATAATAATTTTCATTTTCGATTTTTTTGCGATTACTATAACTTGTCCCACGGGAAGTTGATAGGGCAAATATGATTAAAATATCATTCAAATCTTTGGAATTTAGAGCCATTTTTAAGACCATAACAAATTATAACTCTCAATAATTTAGCTCAGAGTGATATATGAAGCAAAAGTCTTTTGCAAAGACACTCTTCTATGAAGTAATATATAAAACTTATAGCAAATCTTAAAAACTAATATAGGTATACTTATTATATATAATACTCACTCATATTATTAATAGGTGTAGAATAAATTGGTTTACAAATAGGTTCCCATGTTATAGCATTAAATGCTTCAAAGCATAAACATACTGAGTTCAAGTTCATATACTTTGCATCTTGCATACATTGATTTCTCAACTATAAATAGTTAAATCAATTAAATCAATAAAAAAAACAACAAAAAAATTAATAAAAGAAATACCTCTATTTTTTCACTTTGTCTCAATGGTTTTTTGCGCCGATCAAAATCTTTGAGCATTTTATTGTATAATTCATCAGCTATGAATTTTTTGGCTGTGTGTATAATTCCCATACCAGGAAAACTATAAATATAACAAAAAATCACAAAAACATCAAGAAGGAGGCATTTTACTAAATGAAGATTTGTAAATATTAAAATTTATTAAACTCTCTTCAAACTATTCTAAATATAAAATTTAGCTTCAGTCCCCGGTTCTATACTATAAGACTATATTAATTAAATTAAATCAATTAAAATCTTTTTAGATTCTCTTTGTTCATCATAAAATGTATACTTACGCAACAATATAACCTGTACCATCATGAACTTCGATATTATGAGGATCTCTGATCTCCTCAGAATTTTGAGAGTTCTTCAATACGAGATGATGGGAATGTGGAGATCTATTTTGTTCAGTGACTTGATATAATGAGCAAGATACGATTGCTGGACCAGAATAGTTTCTTAACTGAAAAAAATAAAATAAAACACATTGACAGGCTGGTAATTCCAATGATCCTGAATTAGTATTTAAGAGCACATTTACCTCTACAGTAGGATACACTTTTTTCATTCTTTCTGAGCTCTTGGCCATTAGGCTGCCATGTGTACCCATCATTTCAGAACGATATCTAAATCGAAACTTGTCTGTTGGTTGTTCCAGTATCACTAGATGTGCCTCTATAGGTATAAATAAATAAATAAATAAATAAATAAATGAATATATATATATATATATATATATATATATATATACTAGATGACTCGACAGACATTGTCCTGTACCCACATCTACAATTCAAAAGTACAAATTTTTTTAATATCCTATCATATACTTTTTAATATCCTATCATATACTTTTTAATATCCTATTTGATATCCTGCCTTTGTGATTAATTTATGGTCTTAGCATAAGCAGTATAAGATAAAAATAATATTGTAATCAGAAAAAAAAATATAGTATTTGCGGCAAAAGAACAGAATCACACTTGATTTTACCACACGACATAATAATTTAGTCTATAATTTTTATAATTTTGTACGATGAAGTAGTTTCTTTTTGGCAATTGTAATTTCTAAAGTACATTTTCCTTACTAATAATTTAATAAACATTATTATTTATGTTAAAATCTTAAATGAATTAATTTGTAAAACCTAGTTCTTGCTAAATATACCATATCCAATACTAAACAAATGAATTTTTAACACATGAAACAAAATTCTAAATCATTTTTTTAATAAGTAGAAATATTTTTCTGTATTGTTAAATAATTTAGTGAAGTAAACCAAAATGCTTTCTTGTATATTATATTCTAATTTTAAGCTAAATTCAATTTCAAGTGAATTCACATTTCTAGCAGACGACAGTTTAAATGTTTTCAATGTCAAACAATAATAAGTGTTTTTTTGTAATTTTTGTCATTTATTTCTACAATATCTCTATAGTTTTATCATTCATTAAATCTTAAAAATTTCCTTTGACAAACTCTAAAAAGAATTAACAAAATCCGAATAACCATTTAGGTGAAGTATCAAATCATACACCCGTACAGAAGAATTTTATATAATATATAAGATATATATATATATATATATATATATATATAATACTAATTATTGTATAAATATTACCTCCTTGTGGATTATCATTTAATAAAAAAGACATCTCTGTATTATGGGGAATATCAGCCATTACATATCTGCTTGGATCGGGTGAGTTTTCATTTACTGAATACGGAGACATGGAGCTCGAATTAGGAGATCCAATCGAAGTAGATTCCATTGAGGATGAAACGGGGCTGATATGACTTCGGTAACTCATATCGTCAGCAAACATTGGATCTTGATTTATTACATCTGAAAAACAGTAATAAATATGTTAGAAAGAAAAGAATTGAAAAAATTGATACAAAATAATAATGATATAAAGAGTACATAAAAATGATTGAGATAAGAAAAAAAAAATGGAGTATATAATCAATACACAGAGATATAAATCTGCCACTTATACAATTATTGAAATAATGATAGATGATTGTACAGTATAAAAAAAATGCAAATATCGAGGTAATCAATTTTTACACTCCCATTTAGATTAGTTAAATTATTCAGTCGTAAATATTAATAAAGATAAATAACCAATACCAATGATAAAAATTATATAGCAAGAAGTTCACATGTAAGGATCTATTATATATGGTCATTTTGTCATTATATCAATAATTTGTTATACGAGCTTACAAAATCTATTTTTTTCTGGTGAATGAGTTAACAAATATAAAAGGAAAATCATATTTTCACAATTTGTGAGATAAAAGTTCACACGTAAGGATCTATTACATATTGTGATTTTGTTGTTATAACAATAATTTGTTAAATCATTCACAAATGTTAACATACGAGCTTACAAATATATTTTTTATCCGGTCCATGAGTTAACAAATTTAAAAAGAAAATTATAATTTCTCAATTTGTGAGAAAAAAGTTCACAAGTAAGGATCTATTATATATTGTCATTTTGTTGTTATATCAATAATTGGTTAAATCATTCACAGATATAAATAAATATTAATATATATATATATATATATATATATATATATATACAAATCTAGTTTTTAATCCTGTGCATGATTTAACAAATTTAAAAAGAAAATTATAACTTCTCAATTTGTATTTCTGCATTGTCCAAATCTCATTTTACAATGTAACGATAACATAATTTTACTAACATAATTTTAATAATTATTATGAATAAAATGATTATAACATATAGACTAAACTGATTCATATTCAGTTTTTAATATATAAAGCACATTGAAAGATTTATTTCCATGTAAACTTTTCAAAATAATTGCTGGGTAGTATTCATAACTCGATGGAAAGAATTTTTAGCATTGTACTTCTAAACATATTTTCATATTAATCATTTGATTCCTTTAATTATATGTGCCTTTATAAAGAGTAAGTACAGAAATAACCTTCAAAGATAAATGCAAAATTAATGCATATTCATATTTAATTCTTATTATTCTATACATAACCTCAAAATTTTTTTTTTTCAATAAACATTTTTTCACATTACTTATGCAATAAGAGTTAAGAAAATTGGTTATAAAAACTACACAGATTAAGAAAAGGCATATTCAAGCATAAATGTTTTGGTAAATTCACCAATAATATTTGCACAAAGACCAATGCCACAGAAATATTTACTTCTGTCATGACAATGTTATTGTCATCTGTCATCCACGTTGACGTTTCTCATTGGATGAAATTTTGCATGAAATTGGCACAGTGGCGCCACTTGTATTGCAACGTTGAAAATAATTTTAAATGTCGATAAACGTTGCTAAAATATTTATTGTAACTAGTGGTGTATGACATCGTGCCTTAAGAAAAATAGTGGTACTTCCCGTTCCAAAAATTGAAATTTTTCAAAATATTCATTTTTGTTTAGAACTTTAAACTAGTGGGGTGCATAGCATCGTGCCTTAAGGCAAATTGTTGGAACTTCCCGTACCGCAATTAAAAATCTTGGTACGGAACCCAAAAATAATAAACATAATGTGTACCCATTATTAAAATCTCTATAAAATATTTGATAATTTGATGTACATATGTTCAATAAACATTTTTGATCGCCGAATGGCATTTTTTAACTTGTTATTGAGAGTCCATAACCGCTGGACCTGCCTTCCCAAAAATTCTTCTTCTTGTGAATACAAGTAAAATGTTTTTTGAATTATTAAAATCGGACGCTCCGTTCTCCTAAAAATTCAGTTACCGTTTTTGGCGCTTTTTGTCCCGTATCTTCGGAACGGCAAGACCTGCCTTCGCCAAAAACTGATTAGCACGTCTCCTTATCAATACAAATCGAATATTTTTTAAATTATTCAAATCGCTATATCCGTTCCCGAAATCGTCGACAAAAATTTGTATCCGCACACACACATACACACATACATCCATTTTTCACACAGAAACCTTTGAAATGTGAAGATATATAAAACATTTCATTTTCA